AGTACACCACGAACAGGTTTTTAAGCTGTGCATGGCCTGTTATAATACTTAGGGCATGTTATTTGCAATACTGCCGCCCTCGCACAACAGCATGGAAAAAGCCCTTGCTTTTTATTTATCTTTATTGTTTTAATTTCAGCTTTGTACTGGGGCAAGATCTCAAAGCCCAACCCATGCTAGGCAAGAACCCTGCCACAGGCTATATACCCAGGCTCCTCGTCCTTGTAGGGTTTCCCAGTCAGAGGAGAGGTAAGCAGTTGGCCAGGACAGAGTTGGAATGTGCAGCAGGGAGCCACCTGGACCAGGCACAGCACTACCCAGCATGCCTCAGGGCGGGCAGCCATCTTGCTTTCAGCCTCTTTGGTCTTAACTACTGGGTGCGCTGCTCCTGGCATGGATCTTCAACTGTGTGTCCCAACTTCACGGCTGCTCAGGGTAGCTCTGCAGATGTTCTAGTGGTATTTATCTGCAGTAGATTTTGTTTTAAATCAAGGAGCCTTTATGCTAGAGTAGAAATAATGTTTCCATCTGACTCCTATGTCTTCAAGAACACCTAGATGTGAGAGTGGCTGGGGAGTTGTGGAGACTCCTGATGAGGGGTGGGTGAACCGCTTCTGCTTCTCTTTGGAGCTCTTTCATTTCCATAGTGCAATTAAAGTGAAAGCTATGTGGCAGCCTGACCCTACAAGGCATGACTCCTGAGGTACAAGATGCATTCTCTCACTGTGGGTCTCCCTTGTTGGGACACCAGGGGCGAAGCTCCTCCCCTCTCTCCAAGTGTTCCCTGGATGAGACAGGAAAGTGAAAGAGCACGGCGGCGAGGTCTGAAGGAATCCGGGGATGTCCTTCTTGGCAGGATGCACCTCCACCTGGAATTTTCTGGCTCCTGGCTATGCAGTGGATCACAGTTTTGGGAGTGGAATATCTGCATAGGCATGTGGCTGCTGAGGGTCAGGTCTGGAGGCTGGGGAGGGGCCGGAAGCTGAGCAAGGCCTCTGCAGTGCCCTGGCTGGAGCGGGTGCTGATGAGCCCTTTCCTGTCTCCACCCCTGGGGTGCACCTGGCCTGCCTGGACCCAAGCCATCTCCTGCCCACCCTGCCACAAACAGTGAGCCAGAGGTGAAGGGTGTCTGTCTGAAAACTATGTCCAGTTGATTTTGAAATGCAGTGTATCATTAAGCAAAGGGGATATATATATATATCAAGCCAGGTATGGGCCTGTGACCCTAACAACTGGGAGGCTGAGGCAGGAGGATCGGTGGGAGTTTGAGGCCAGCTGGGGCTACACATCAAGACCTGTCTCAAGAGAGAAGAGTGAAGTGGGTCTGTGGCTGGTCTTTTCCAAGGCAGCACTTTCCTGGGAGGGAGGCACATCTCAGTTTTGCGGAGTCCTGCTTATGGTCCACAGGTTCCCTTGTGGCCTTGAAAGGTACTGTGTGCCCCCTACAGATACTAACTCCAGCCTTGATTTAAATTGACAAAATTCCAATACTAATAGACAGTTTGAAAATGAGTCACTTAAAAGTTAGGTATCAAGGACTTCTAAAAGCTATGTTTAAGTAGTTCTACATACCTGGGAAATTTCAAAATGGCTTATTTGTTTATTTGTTTGGGGGTTTTTTGACACAGGATCTTGCTCAGTAATTTAGGCTGGCCTTGAACCCGCTACATACCCCAGGTTGGGCTCAAAATCATGGCAATCCTCCTGGCTCAGCCTCCCAAGGTTGGTAGTATAGGCATGTACCACCACGCCTGGCAGTTTTTGAGCCAAAATTCCATTATGTAGTCCAGGGTGGCCTCTAACTCACAGCGACGAGAAGGGCTTCTTGGGAGGCTACCATGGCTGAGGAGGTCAAGACTGAGGTAGGCACTCACAGGCGGGAGGCGGCTGTCAGCGCCTGCTCTGGCTGTGCAAGAGCTGGCAGATGGAAGGCCTCTGAGCCGCGGGCCCAAGGCCGGCACCCTCTCCCATGACAGGCCTTGACCTTGTTGGTGTGGCTGGAAGAATTGCAATCCTCACCGCGGGTGACACTAATGCGCTGAAGGAGCGAGCTTACTGGGGAAGCGTCCGTGCTGAGTGTCAGATCCGCCATGCTAGGCGTTGTGCTGCCGGGGCAGAGGGCCTGGCCTGGGGTGGTGCATGTGTGTCATCATGCGCAGGCTTCTCCCTAGAAGGGCATTGAGGGCAGTCTTGAGGACCAGGGTGTGGCTGGTTTGGTTACAGGGTAGGAAGGAAAGGACTTTCTGGCTGAGACAGGTCGGGGGCACGCGTGGCTACTGGAGCCGAGGGGCCTGTACTACAGCTGCCTACAGCAGCCGTGTTTGCTGCGGATGTATTATGGTTAACAGCAAGCACTAGGGCTTCTGCATATCCAGCCATGCTTCACAGGGGAAGCTCTTTTGTTCTTTCTTTTTCTTCATGTATTTAGGACAGGGCCTACAAGGTCTCACTACGTAGATCTGACTCGTAGTGATCCTCCTGTTTTCAGCCTCGCAAGCACTCGGATTACAGGCACACGCCTCCCTGTGTCCACCACACCACCACACCCAGTCTCAATCGCGTCTCAGTGTGCCAGGGGTGGGGCTGGCATGGCCTGCTGAGAATGGAACCCCCGCCGCTGCACTCTGCCTAAACAGGTGCTTTAGTCAGACACTGAACTATCTGGCTGGCTCTTTTTTTGTTCTTTCTTGAGCCTGGGTCTCACTATGCAGTTCATGTTGGCCTAGGACTCTATCTCTAGCCCAGGCTGGCCTCAAACTCGCAGCAATCCTCCTGCCTCAGCCTCCCAAGTACTGGGATCATGGGTGTACACCACCATGCCTATCTGGGGAGGCTTTCTTTAGGGTCAGACAGGAAGGAAAACCAAAATTTCTTGTTTGAATCAAAACAAGAAGGAAGTTGTCTGCTTTCTTAGTAAAATTCTTTTGAGATGTATTGTGTGGTACATATACCTGGGGCTTTCCCACTCAGCTATATCCCAAGCCCTTTTTCAGTTATTTTGAGACAGGGTCTTGCTTAGTTGCCCAGGCTGGGCTTCACCTTGTGATCCTCTTGCCTTAGCCTCCCAGGGTGCTGAGATTATCTGTGTGAGCCATCAATTCTGGCCCTTTTAATCATTTTCTGAGTAGCATAGGGGAGAAATTTCTGGAGAAATAACAGAGGCACACAGTCCTGGCTTGTTGTGTTGTTTTAAGCAGTAAAAAACCGGTGTGGTGATGATGTCGACTCTCCTGCCTGTTGTATTGTGTCGCTGGGTGAGTCGCTTATCTGGCTCCGGGGAGCACTTTTCATGGAGTGGGCATTTGTGACACAAATAGACGACATTTCTTATCCACACCTTGCTTGGTCCCAGCCCTCTGTGGACTCCGATGCTGAATCCCATCCATCAGTCTCCTGAGAAGGGATGCAGAGGAAGACAGGAGCTGTGCAACTTTCCCCAAGGACAGGGATGGAGCAGGCAGATGTCACTTCCTAGGTCTGTGTGACTGACACAGGAGCGGCTGGCAGCTGGGCACCTCCAGAGTGGACAGGGGGCCGAGGCGGAACCAGAGGCAGAGCTCACGGGGTCGTGTGTGGCGTGGGAGCCGGGGACGGCAGGCGGGGGTTGGCCTGGGCCTGAGTGCTGTGCAGTAGCAGCCAGCCAGCGGTTATTTTGGTAATCTTTCTTTCCACTTGGTGCTTTGGATTCTGATGAATCCACCAGAGAATTCAAGAATCTTCCTTCCTTCCGAGCGTGCTCCCAGCGATGGGCCGGCAGCCCCCTTGGGAAGCTGCCACCCGTCCTTCCTGTGTTGCCCTGGCCTCCTGGGCTCTTGGCCTGGGAAAGACACTTCGGCTACCTGCCAGCTCCCTGTGTCCGCCAGCCCAGACACACCCGGCACCTGGCTCCACAGTGCCGCGACCCAGCCCCAGACTCAGCTGGCCCCAGGGCCCCCGAGGAGACTCACTCCTGAAAAGCAGCCTTGGGGCAGAGGCCTTAGAGCTGTCTGGGTGACAGCTACAAAAACCAGTGCTTGAAAATGCTCTAAGAGGATTAGAGTGGGTTTGTTCTGGCTGTAATTACTAGATGTAATTAATGTTTTGTTTTTGTTGTTGTTGTTTTAACACAGGGTTTCTCTGTGCAGTTCAGGCTGGCCTCAAACTCACTGCTATAGCTGAAGCTGGCCTTGAGCTCATGGTGCTACTCCTGCCTCAGCCTCCTGAGGGCTGGAATTACACGCCAGTGTCACCACACTAGGCAAAAATGACCTTATTTTATATAATAACAAACTAGCCAGGTATGGTGGTGCACACCTGTGGTCCCAGCACTTGGGAGGCTGAGACAGGAGGATCACCATGAGTTTGAGGCCATCCTGGGCTACACAGTGAGATCCTGTCTCAAAAAAACATAAAATAAAATGAAGCAAATAGAACAAAATAAGCTCATTTTGTAATTATGATCATTTTATAATTCTATTCCATATGTCTGTGCTATTTTTTAAAAAGCATTTAATATTTCATAATGTGAATTGCTCCCACTTTTAAAAAAATAATGACTTGTACAAATTCCCTAGGTAGAAATGGTGTCTTGTGTTCTGGGTAAACTGGAAAGCGTTTTTTGCATGCATAGCACCCTAAGTGGCTCATGTTCTGCCTAAGGCCGCGGGGCTTTGGCCAGGACGGCGACAGCACTTGCTCTGATCCAGTGTGAATGTGGAAATGTCTAAAACCGACGTGGTGGGAAGCACAGCAAAATGATGCTGAGAAGACGTGTTTGTGGAAGAGTGGGCCTGCTCTGTGTGGGCAGGACAGGACTGGATCCTGGGCAGGCCCTTGGGAAGCAGCCTGGCGCTAGGTTTCACACACCACATAGCATAAACGCCAGGATTAGCCATGCCTGCCCCTCTGGATCTAGGTCCTCGCTGGCCAAGCAGCCAGTGTTTCACCCTAGGGTGGCCAGGCATTGTGGCAAGCGCTGACTGGACCCCTGTTGTCTCAGCTTTCATCCTGACCTCCCGCAGGTGGTGACCTGTCATGCGGCGGGGGACACCCTGAAGTTCCTGGTCAGCACAGGGCTGGCCTCAGCGGGAGATGCGGGACAGCAGCTGTGTGATGTGCATCTGAGCCCCGTGCACCTACAGGTAAGAGCAGGGAGACTTGGCAAATCAAGGACACTAGCCGCACCAGCACAGAGCTGCTGACCAGGCAGGGACGCCTGTCACACTCAGGACACCCATGTCTCCGTTAATCACCATGAGTGGCAGAGGTGTCAAACCCCAAGCTTCCACATTTTTTCTTTTTGTTTCTGGGTTGTTGATTTTGAGACAAGGTCTCTCTGTGTAGTCCAAGCTGGCCTTGACATGTGGCCTTTCTCCTGCCTCAGCCTCCCAGGTACTGGGATTGTAGACCTGAGCCACCATGCTCAACACCTTTATTTTTCTTCTAAGTTAAAGCATGAGTTTTGCTGTCATTTTTCTGGAGATGAGCCTATGACTATAGGCCTCCTGTCTTGCATGTGATTTTTACAATTGCACCAAGAGAGACTCCTGTCTGCAGTAGTTCTACGGGATGAGCAGGTGCTGAGAAGTTGGGAATTTCTGCTCCCGCCTCAGAGGTCACTGCCGACTCACCCTCGTGGCCACCTCATCTGCCTTTGTCCCTGGCCACTATGACTGAGGAGGATATAGCATGCAGGACCCTCGCTGCACAGGAGGGTGGGGTTCCTTTTTTTTTTTTTTTTTTGGAATTGAACCTAGGGTCTTCACATTGAGCTACTTTCCCAATCCTTTTTTTTTTTTTTAATTTTTTTTTTTTTTTTATTTAGAGACAGGCTCTCACTAATTTGCCCATACTGGGCTTTAACTTGTGAGCCTCCTGCCTCAGCTTCCCGTCGGCCTCCCAAGCCCAGCTCCTTCTGCTTTGCTTAGAAAGATGTGATTTTAAATAACCATCTGCACTGTGGCTTCTTGGGCCTGAAGTGGCTTTTCCTGAAAGCCTCTCCTCTGTGTCACCTCAACCCCATGCCGGAACACTCTTCTTAGAGATGCACCAAAGAGTCTTGCCTTGGGACTCCTCCACCTCACCTGTCCTGCACCCCACAGTTTTTGGGCAGGATGGTTAGAAAAATAGCCTTTGAGGGGGCTTGTAGGTTAGCACAGTTGCTGAAATTGCCTGCTTGGGCAAACCCAGTCAGGCGCAGGGGACTGTGGTTCAATCCCCAGATCCACATGCTGCACCAGACCCGCCCTGAAGGCAGCCTGAGCCAGCAAAGAAAGAAAGAGAGAAAGAGAGAAAGGAAGGAAGGAAGGAAGGAAGGAAGGAAGGAAGGAAGGAAGGAAGGAAGGAAGGAAAAAGAAAGAAAGAAAGAAAGAAAGAAAGAAAGAAAGAAAGAAAGAAAGAAAGAAAGAAAGAAAATAGCCTTTGAAGCCAAGGACACATTTGCTGCATGGCTGGGGACTGAATAAATGGGGGGGGGGGCTCAAGCCACACCCCAAGGCAGTGCTGTCCCTGCAGGCACAGTCTGTGTGGAAGCTGCAGCTGCCTTTCCCTGCAGCCACATCTTGGATTTCTTGTCACACAGGCATGTGACCTCAGCACTTAGCTCACTTCCCAGAGCAGGGGCAGTTGCTCCAGAGGGGTGTATTATTTATATTTTGAGCCAGGATCTCACTGTGTCTTAAACTCAGCGATCCTAGGGCTGGCCACATAGGTCAGTGGACTTAAGTGCCTGCTTAGGCAGAGCACAGCAGCTGGGGCTTGATCCCCAGTGTGTCATGCTCCCCCCGCTCCAGGGCACACTGAGATGGTGATGGAGACGGCATGGTGGCGTGGGCCTGTAATCCCAGCGCTTGGGAGGCTGAAAACAGGAGAATCACTATGAGTCTGATCTACGTAGTGAGATCCTGTAGATCCTGTGCTGAATACATTAAAAAAAAAAAAAAAAAATCTCAGTGATCCTCCTGCCTCGGCTCCCTGAGTGCTGAGCTGAGAGTCCTGTGCCACCACACCCTGCATGCTGGGCAGGCTGTTCATGCCATGGGCAGGAGGTCGCGCTCCTCTGATGTCCTGCAGGCCAAGGGTGCAAGTGGGTTGCTCGTCAGACTGTCTGCTGCTCTGCCTGCGGGTGGGGGCATGCTTTCTTCCCTGAAATGCTGAAATTCAAGTACACTTTTCCTGCAGTGACTGCAAAGGCCTGGCCTGCTGAGTGTAGGAGAGAGGGGTCCTGAGTCTTTGCTCTTTCCTCCCCCTTGGGGTGGGAGGTGTGGAGATGCAAGGCACTGTGATGTGGCTCTGGAGTGAGCATCTGGCAGAGCAGGGAGACCAGGTCACTGTCACTTGCGAGGAGGACGGGTCACTATCACTTAGCTGGGATGACTTGGGCTTTTCCCATCTGTCCATCTGTCCATCTGTGCTATGGAAGGTGACATCCCAGCAGGAGGTTGGATGTTGAGACCAGAACCCCTCCTGAGAAGCCAGACAGCAGGTCCTGCGGGTATTGGTAGACTCATTCCTGGGGTTGTGGCCTGACACCTGTGACACAGGACACTCAGGCCTCTGTATTCCTTGGCCACAAGCATTGTGCTGAACCTGGTCAGTCCTCAAGCCCTGCCTTGCTGGCCATGCTGCTGTGTCTTCTTCCATGTTTAAGGACTCCTGTGATTCTTCTGGGTCATCTAAGAAACCAAGCAGCTCTGTCCACTTCCAGGTCCCAACCTAATCTTCTGCCAGGCTCCTTGTGCCACACCTGTGCTGTGCACAGGCTCCATGGAGAGGTGTGGTTTCCCTGGGTTGACTGGCACAGATAGGCAGGTGAGGCCAAGTTAGAGCTGGGCAGACCAGTTGCTGGAGGTGGGAGGTGGGGAAAGGGACAGGGACAGATGCCTTGCATAGCTTCTATAGTCTTGGGATGGGATGGGCACCTGGACCCCTCCCTACTTCTCTCTGGCATGCTTGAGGGACATGCTGGGAAGAGAAATGCCAGCCACTGCCAGTTGCTTAGTGCGAAGAGACTGCAGAATTTAATGATACCTGGCCTTCATCCCCTAATACTGAGCTTAGGAAAGGGGCTGATACAGATGGAGGAGAATGAGGTCTTCCTGTTCTTTCTGAAAGCACACAGTAGGCTGAGGAAAAATTGAATAATCACTGAAGCAGATAAATGGATAAAGGCACATACACAGAGTGTACGTATGCATGTAGACACACAGTGTGTGTGCAGACCTACTGCAACCCAAGCTCACTAAGGCGCTGGCAGAAGAGCAGCTGTCCAATGACTGTTTCTCTTCCCTAGCTGGAGTTCCACATGAAGGAGAAGAGAGAAGACATCCAGATCCACTGGTCCTTCATCCACGTGCCAGATACTTCCATTCAAATCCAGCCCCATGCCCCAGGGGAGGTGGGTCATTTCCGTGATTCTCCTTGGTGTGAGGGCTCATGTGCTGGGGGTGGAGGTACTTAGCCTCCTCTCTGTCCTCCTCTGTCCCTCCCTGGGCTAACCAGTGCCACCCAAGAGAGGTCACCCCTGGGGACGGAGCTGTGATGGACTTGGTATATAGTGCTCCTTGAAGCCATAGCTGGAGTTACCTGGCTGCTTCTGAAGGTCAGAAAGCCTAACCCCCTGCCCCCCCCCCAGGATGCAGGCTTTGGAGGCTGAGAGTAGTTAAGTATCACCAGCTGAGATCCTGGGGTCACATGTCAAGAGGTCCCCTGCATCTCCCATCCCAGAAAGGACAACCCACAGAGGCTAGCCAGCATCCCAAGACTGCTGGCTGAGGTGATCCCCCTTGTCCCCGTTGTTGCCAGGGTACCATTAAGCCCATCTGTCTCACATCCTAGAGGTACAGGTCTTAGAGGCCAGAACCTGGGAGTCAGGCATGGCTTCAGGTGGAGGTAGAGCTGGGCCGCCCCTCTGCATCTCTGGGAAAGTCATGCAAGTCTTATGCCCAGGGTATCTCTTCTGATGGTCTCCTGTCAACTTTGCTCTGTGCGAGGCCATTGTCTGCTCCTCCAGAAAAGCACAGTTGAAAGATACGAGTTTAGTGGATCACTGATAGTTATTTCAGCCTCCGTGCCTTGCTGTAAAGATGTATGTGGCTGTTGTTTGCCTTGCCTTGGGTTCTTAGCTGAGTTCTCAGAGCTGCATGCATCAGAATTGCTCCCAGCCCTGGCAGGTTGTTCTCATGAGGTGGGGGGTCAAGAGTGTGGAGTCCTCCACACTCCGCATACCCCGTTCATTCCCTTTTCCCCTTCTGGTGTCTGCAATGCAGTTCTCCCGCAGTGCCCTGGCCTGTCCAGGCCTACAGTCCACACAGAGCAGCTGGCCACTGGGTCTGGCTTCCTGCCACTTGCAACAGACCTGCTAGAGGTCAGGCCCCACTCCTGATTGTATAATTATTATTACTATTTGTGTGTGTGTGTGTGTGTGTGTGTGTGTGTGTGTGTGTGTGTGATTTTGAGACAGGGTCTCATTATGCAGTTCAGGCTGGACTAGAGCCCACTTTGTAGCCCAGGCTTGAACTTGCAGCGACCCTCCTACCTCCTGGCTTGTATTGTTATTTTCATTATTGTTCATGGTAGCATAGGTCCTGTGCATGGTGAGCACGTGCTCTACCACTGACCCACATTCCCACCTCTTTTAGTTTTTTTCAGATAGGATCTTGCTAAGTTTGCCCAGAATGGCCTCACACTTAAAATCCTCCTGCCTCAGGCTGCCCAGTAGCTGGTGCCCAGTGCCCAGCTCGGCCCCCAGGAAACTCCCTGTGTCCCTCTGCCGCGCCCAGCCCTGCCAGCACTGAGATTCTTGTTGGGGAGAGCAACCCCACACACCCAGCAACCGGAAGCACCGTGTGTCCATCAGCTCAGTTTCCAGGGTCTGGGGTCTGCTCTGCAGGGCTGTCCTGAGCACAGGGCCTGTGGCTATCACCAGGATGGGGTCTGGCTGCGTGCCTTCTGGTTGCAGGGTGTGACAAGGCTCTCTGGGTCCCTGTCCTGAGGCACTGACCCCATCATGAAGGTTCTGCCCTCCTGACCTAAGCACCCCAAGGTCCCACCTCCTGACACCTACACTTGGATTTGGATTTCACTAAGTAGCTCTGGCCTCAGACTCACAGCGACCCTCCCTCGTGCTTCAGCCTCCCAAGTGTGGGGATTACAGGCATGGCTTTTTTTCTTTCTTGTCTTTTTGTCTTTTTTTGGAGCGGGGGACAGGTTCAGATTTCAACACAGGTCTTTGCCCCTTGACATTAGCAACTCTCAGCGGGAGGCCCTTCTGACCTCAGTGGCACTGTGCTCCTGAATGCAGGCCCACGTTGTGTCAGGCTCACGCCAAGTCTTGGTGCACACTGATCCCCAGGGCCACAGCCCCTCCACCCCGCTCTTCCAGGACTTGCTTGTGCTCTTCCTAGTTCTGTTCAGTCCTTACACACAGTCTCCTCAGAAGTGATGGCTTCTATAAGAATGAGCTCCCACATGTGTGTGACTTGGGGCTGAAGCTGAGTGTGCCACGCAGCACATTACTGTGGCCTCTACTCTTCATTCTTACTGTCCCTCTAATCTGGGGACTTATTATTTACTTACGTTTATTCATTTATTTTTAGTGACAAGCATGAATGACTCCTCTCCCCTGCACTGGGGACTGGGCCCAGGGCCTTCACCTGAGCTGCCTCCTTGGCCCTCTCTGCTTCTTTTTCACTGGACTGGCAGCGTCTCACTAAGTAGTTCAGTGTGTCAGGCTCCCACAGCCTTCAAGGGTGTCCAGACTACAGGTGTGCACTGCCTGGCCCAGTGAGGTGTGGATGCCTTTTGAAGTTAGCAGGTGCCCACTTCAGGGCAGAGTGACCTGTCTGTCCTGGCTGGAGTTCCGGGGACAGGAGCCAGTGCAGCCTTAACATCCAGTTCGCTTCCTTTCAAGCAAGTGGGTGGGGAGCCTCTGAGGTGTGGCCTCGGTGTAGGTGACCAAGTGACCAATGACCTATGTCTCATACAGGACCTGACTGTGGAGCGAGAGGCTATGTCCGAAGCGCTCCAGGACCTCCTGAAGCGCCTGGTGGGCCCTGCCGCGCCAGCAGTGGTTCTGAGCACCAGGCCGGCGAGCCAGCAGGAGGCTCAGGTGAGCAGCGAGCGGGTCGGGGCCTTCTGAGTCCGGGGCAGAGCCGGCACCTTGGGGAGGCTGTGCGTGTGGTCAGTGATGCTGCCTCCATGCCGGACTGCACCGCTGAGGGGTCTAGTGTCTGCACTCCTTGTGAGAATCTAACGTAGTAAGATTAACATGCCCAACAATCGTGAGGCACTTGAAAAACTCCAAACCACCTCCACCCACTTCATGCAAAAATTGCCTTCCAAGAAACTGGTACCGGGTGCAAAAAGTTGGCGACCACTGGCATAAGTAACACAGATGCCCTTGCTGAAAGCGAGTCTGCCTGACCCCCAGCTGCACTTGTGGTTGTAACCAAGATGCAGGGGCTTGGAGTCCCTGGCATTTCTGACAAGATGGTGCCTGGGATTCTTCCGCCTGGAGTCCCAGCACTTCAGGGCCTTTCAGGGCCGGACCCCCATGGGTGAGGAGGTGGAGTCTTAGGACTTTGGTTTCCCTACTCTGATTCCAGAGGCTGAGTTCTGGGCACTGAGGGCCACAGAGCTCTAACAGGTGTCCTTGCCACCTCGCATCTCAGCACAGTGGGGGCTGTGTAGCCAGCTGTGGGTTGTGGGTGTCCAAGGCTCCATCTTCAAGGGGGAGTGGGGTGGGCAGGGCAGTGTCCCTTCAGTCCTCTGTCCCTTTGGCTCTTGCAGCTTTGAGAGCACTCTGAGGATAAATTCAAATGTCAAAATATGAGAAGGTTCACCAAATAGTGCAGTTTTAAAATCCATGGATCCAGAAAATCAAAGGGCCTGAACAGTCATAAAGGCGATGACCTTTAATAAATCTGCAACAGTCTCTCAATGGCATGCCTGAGACTTGGAGCCTGTGTGGGTCACCCAGATGTTTCTTTAGTAGAAGGTGCTGGCTCTCATGGCCTTGAGCTCTGATGCAGCTGGTTCTAGCCTGAGCCCGAGGTCTGGGTGCCAGAGAGGCGTGGGGTGGCTCCGTCCCTCCTTAGCCTCCCCACTCTCTGCTCATGGGCTGGGAAGCCCCTGGCTCAGAGTAACGCCCCGTAATGGATTCTCAGTCTCCTAGGCTGTCACCCCTGCTTTTCTCTTCCACAGAATCTGCCTCGCGCCTCCCCACCCACTCAGGACTGCTGCCCCCCCAAGCCTCCCAGGGCACATGAACTGAGGCTGCAGGTGAAGAACATCCAGGCCTCTCTGCTCAGCCACCTGGGGGCCTCAGGTGGGTGCTCCCATCTGGGAGAAGGGACTATCATGTGCCCTGGCCCAGGGGCCCAAAGAATCCTACCTCTGCCTGCATTCGAAGCTGCACACCTGGAACACTTGGTGCAATAGGGACCTTCAGAGGGCAGTGCTTGGCTAGGAGTAGGGTGCAGGAGGGGACAAGAACTCCTCCTAGCATCTGCACAGGAATGCGACTGACCTGACAGCTGCCGTGTGTGCCTTATGTAGCCCCCACATGGTGCTTTTCCTGTGGCCATGCAAAGGAGCAGATGTGTGTGGGCGAGCTCACACCAGTCCTGATCTGATCACTGCACATGCATGTGTGCTGAAATGTTACTGATGCCCGTGCACACCCCCAGGGGATGTGTTCGTTCAGTCCTGTGGAACGTGGGAGGCATGGGGAAGGCCAAGGGACAAGAACAATGGGATGTGATGCCTGGCTTCTCCTTTTTATTGGGAAGCCTCCTTCTGCTCCTCCTCTTCTTTCTCTCACCTCAAATTCTCTCCTGTCCCAAACTGTTAAGTTGCCCTGACCAATGTGTGCCCTGCCTCCACTTGTCTCCCAAAAGTGGGGACCATGGGCTGTGATATCAGGGCCCCTTGGGGACTCTGGTGTCAGATACCATGACTATTCCCACAGGACAGACACAGAGAAGTGTGTCCTTTTGTTTGAGATGTGAGAATACCGGGGGGAGGGGGGCAAGAGGCACCTATTTCTAGTTTTCCTTAGGTCCAAATGTGGGGTGCCCTATTGGACCTCAAGGCCTTTCATGAGCCTGTCTGTGGGTGATTCTTCAGGTGACAGCTAGTATGTTCAGCCTTTTAGCCTGCACTATGTGACCGCTGCGTGAGCACCCTGCATGCAGTTGGCTGAGGTTGCGGCCCTACTCTGGCCCTGTGCCAGGATGGGCCTATCTGGTCTGAGTGTCTTGGCTTCCTGGCTACATGGCCCAGAGAAATGTCCTGGTGGTTTCCAGGACTTGGCGTCACAGGGGCAGCATCGTCTCAAGGCTAGGACAGCTGTGAGCTGTCTGTCCCTGACCATACCTAGCATTCCAAAGAGACTTGGACTGAGCCAGGCCAAGCATGAGGGTTCTGCCGGAGACCAGAACGAGTTCTCTGTGAGCAGCCATGAGTATCATACAGTGGGGTCATTTCTAGGGGACAGTCTCCGCTGGGCATCCGGCCTATGGCAGGGGCTGACACAGGGGCTAGGATACTTGGGGTCAGCACAGGGCTTTTGCCAGCAGGCAAGGAAAACTTCAACCCCAAGAAGTTGGTGCTTTGAGTGTTTCTGTTAATGGCAGATGAAGGACAGGAGAGGCTATCAGGAGTGGAGCCTCAACGTTTAGCTTGGCCCTCTGTGTCCAGGTAAAAGCTGTCACGCCACTGAAATTCAGCCAGTCCTGAGCAGCTTCTCATGATTACAGGTGGCCCTGTGTGCACTGTGCAGCTGAATGACCCAGCTCAGATGTTCGCCAGCTCTCAGCTGAGGAACAGTGCCAACCTCTTGTGGGCAGAAGAATTCACCTTGTGAGTATGGCCCAGGTGGTAACAGCTGGGTGTCCCCAGCTGGGACTGCTACATCCCCGTCACTGTGCCATGCTGCTTAAGCAGAAAACTAAATTAGATGCAAGCAAACTGTCTTGGTGGCTGGAAGGTGGTTGTGGGTCATAGGATTCTTTCTTGGGCAGTTCAGGGTCCATCTCCTCCTCTTGCCCCGTAGTGACAGGTAGGACAGGCTGTGGGGGTCCCTCAGTCTCCGTAGAAGCTCAGCCACCCAAAGGAAACTCCTGACATGCCAAAATCCAACAGAGGAGGCCAGGGAGATGGCTCAGTGGAATAAGCACTTCCCTGGCAAGCACAAGGGCCTGAGTTCAATCTCCGGTTCCACCAAAAAAAATCCAACAGAGTGAAGGGGGACTTGGCGACCACTGACAATAATGACTTTGGAGTCATAAGTAAGGATTACCAAGGAGAAAATCTAGTAGCACCATAACAGCAGCTGCTGTTATTGCACATCTGGGCTCCTTGAGGAGAGCAGTGAAAACTTTTTTTAAAAAAATATTTATTTATTTATTTATTTTTGTGTGTGGCCAGCTCAGCCCACCAGGGGGCGGGGCTGGCTGGTATGTGGTGCTGGGGATTGAACCGCGGTCCCTTGTGCTTTGCTAAGCTTGTTCTAAGTAGGTGCTTTAGACCACTGAGCCATCTCACCAGCCCCCCCCTTTTTTAATGTACTTTAGTATAGGGTCTACAGGGTCTCACTGCACAGATTGGATTTGTAATGATTCTCCTGTTTTCAGCCTCCCAAGAGCTAGGATTACAGGAACACGCCACCACGCCTAGTCTCAATCTCAGTCTCAGTGTGTCCCAAGGGTGGGGCTGGCACAGCAAGTCAGAGATTGAACCCTGGTCCCTGCGTCTGCCTAAGCAGGCACTTTAGTCTGCTGAGCTATCTGGCCAGCAATAGTGAATAGTGAATATAGAATAGATAATAGTGAATATAGAATGGAAACAAGTCCTATGAGAAAAGTTTATAGGGGGGCTGGGGATGCAGCTCAGTGGCATAAGTGTCTGTCTGGCAAGTGCAAGGTCCTGAGTTCAATCCCCAGTACTACAAAAAAAAAAAAGAAGAAAAAAAAAAGAAAGAGAAAAAGAAAAATACATAGAAATAACAGTTTAGTAAAGTGGCAATCCCTTTATAAAAAGAAGTTCCTTTCTAATATTTTGACAATAAAGGTATAAAAACTGATGAAAGAATATGTCATAGATAGTGAATTTTAGAACATGCTAATGAAACTGTGAAAGCTGCTTGAGGAAACAGGGCATAATCTCCAAAAGTAGGAGTTGGAGCTGTCCATGCCCCACTGACGGAGGCTTGGCCCCAGGAGTCAGTGAAGAAATGCCAGGGTGGATTCAGGGAGCCCTGATGAGCATGCCCCTTGTGACTGGCAGAGCCGGTGTGCCCGGAGATCTGCACCAGCTGGCTCATACTTGGGGCGTGTTGGGAATGACCACCCGTCCCCAAAGGCTGGCCATCGCGAGTCAGTAAATGAAACTTCACGAGGCTGCCGAGAAGCAAAACCCGAGATGCACGTGGAGATGAGGCTGCCCTGTGGCCATCACTGGGGCCTGGGGGTCCTCTGACTCTGCCCTTTGTCTTTAACTAATTATACAGCAACTCACTCAGCAGGGTGCCCGCTCCCCACAGGTAGCCTTTAATTTTAAGTGGATGAAAGTTATGCACAGTGAGATGCAGCGCCATGGTTCCTGCTGGCCGCACCTCCAGGGGGCCCCTGCTCTGTCACCAGCAGCGTCATAGCCCGTAAGCTCTGTCACCAGCTGTGGGAGGCTCCTCATCCTGAGGTCACAGGAAGCCTGTCCTTATTTTTGGTAACATACCTCTGCAGTGTCTTAACTTGACAACCCCCTGTTGCTCTCCGTACTCAGAAGTAGTATGAGGTGCGACTTGAAAATTCAGCGAATATCCAACTTGTGTTTTGTCTTTTTGAGACAGGGTCTCTCTCTGCAGTTCAGGCTGACCTTGAGCTCCCTTTGTAGCCCAGGCTGGCCTTCAGTTCACAAGGAACCTCCTGCTTTAGCCTCCTGAGTCCTAGGATTACAGGGTTGCACCACTACACCCCACTATATCTAATTTTTAAAAACTTATCTTTCAGTGAAAGACACGTTGCCACTTCCCCCTGGAAATCTCCCCCTCACTTCACTCTCACTCAACCTGCCATCCTCGCCCTGCCTGCAGCAGCTCTGGAGTCCTCTTTCCTGAGTGTCTTTAGCTGTGCTGTCCTGGCTGCCTCCATGTCCTGAATGGATTCCAAACATTTTCCTTTCATGGTCTTTTTGACTTTGGGGAGGATCCAGAAGTCACACAGAGCCAGGAGCAGTGACTAAGGTGGATGAGGACACAGTGTTGTGTTTTTACGAGCCACCTTTCTGTTGGACAGCACTGGGCATCAGCAGTCACTGTATTTTTGGTCATACCTCATAAAGACTCAGGAAAGGGTACTCCAGAGCTGGTGCAGAAAGTGGCCAGACTTATGGGATGAGTACGTTCTAAGCAAGGGGGAGAATTGTGAAAGGGATTCATGGCAGTGTGTTTTTTACCATCATATGTACTTGGTACTGGGAATTGAACTCAGGGCCTCATACTTACCAGGCAGGCACTATGCCACTGAGCTATATCCCTGGCCTTTCTTTCTTTCTTTCTTTCTTTCTTTCTTTCTTTCTTTCTTTCTTTCTTTCTTTCTTTCTATCTTTCTTTCCTTCTTTCCTTCTTTCCTTCTTTCCTTCTTTCCTTCTTTCCTTCCTTCCTTCCTTCCTTCCTTCCTTCCTTCCTTCCTTCCTTCCTTCCTTCCTTTCTTAAATGTAGCATAGGATCTAGAGGGTTTACAGGGTCTCACTACATAGATCAGATTTGTAGTGATCCTCCTGTTTACAGCCTCCCAAGCACTAGGATTATAGGCATACGCCACCACGCCTGGTCTCATACGCTGTCTCAGCACGCCTTGGGAGTGGGGCCAGGATCGAACCCTGGTCCCTGCCTAAGCAGGTGCTTTAATCTGCTGAGCTATCTGGCCAGCCCTTATATTTCTAAGTAGACATTCACTGTGAATTTCGATCATCATGTGTATTTCAAAAGAACCTGAAACCTTTGCATTCTGAAGGTCTCACAGCTCTGTCCCTCTCCACAGTGAGCTCAACGCCAAGTCCAGAGAGCTGCACCTGCAGATCTTGGAGGAGGGGCAGCCCTCAGAAGGTGGGTGGGGAGCCACGGGGGGCCTGCGTGCGGGGAGCTTGCGTGCGTTGAGCGGGCCTGGGGGTCTGAGGGTGGTGTCCTTTCCCAGAGGACACTCGGGTCCCGGTCCATTTTAGTGATGGGCAATGTCATACATCTTTGGGAGAAGTTCATCTGACTTTTTAATATCCTAAGTCTTCCATTCCACAATTCTTCCTTAGAGAACCATTCTGGATGCTCCCAGCCTCAACAGACTTCCCTTGTCTTTCAGTTTTTAATTTCAGTAAAATATGCATTACAAAAACTGCGCCATCTTGGCAGAGCCTGAGTGCCTGGTGTAGTGGCATTCAGCACGCTTGCTGGGACTACTACCTTTCCTCCCCGTCCTAGCTGTGGTTCCCAGAGTAGAGCTCCACCCCCGCGACCCTCTGCCACCCTGTGCCTCCTCTCTCCAGCCCTAGCACCCTGCTTTCTCACTGCTTTTGCCTTAAAAATAAGCTGCTGCAGCTGCACTGAACGCATGAGTTGGGCCCCGCAATTCAAGGCCACCACCAGGATGAACAAGAACCTGTATGCCTGAAATGAATCAATAATTACAATCTTTTTTTTTTTTTTTTTTTTGAGACAAAGTCTTGCTATGTAGTCCAGGCTCTACTTAAACTCACTATGTAGCCCAGGCTGGCCTCGAATTTACAGCAGCCTTCCTGCGTCAGCCTCCCGAGTGCTGGGACACAGGCATGAGCCACCGCGAAGCTGCTATAGTTGCAGCATTTATGAGACTTATTTTTCTTCTTGCCGAGCTGGAGCTGGAGCCTGGGCCTCATGCAGGCCGGGCAGGTGCTGTGCCGCTGTGCCGCACCCCAGCCCGCTGGACACTTCAGGCCCCGTGACCACAGTTGGCAAGGGGAGAACCACCCCACTTATCTGGCTGAGTTGGGGTGACTTTGGGGGCTAGGAGGTTCTTCTTCCCCCTGCTAGTCAGGTCCCCGTCATCATCAGGAACCCTGAAGTGTCATCCTTGATTCTGCAGCCCAAGATGATGGGACTGGTGGAGAGGAAAGGACTAACACCCCCAGAGATGGTTCCGGCAATGCCCGGGGTGAGGCTGCACCTGGCTGGAGAGGAGCTCAATCCTCATCTTCTCCTGGGCCCATTTCAATCAATCCTGACAGGACCGTGAGATCCAGAAGTACAAAAGCAGAGTGAAGCGCTGGGCGTGGTGGCGCAGGCCTGCAGTTCCAGCACTTGGGAGGCTGGGGGAGGAAGACTGCTGGGAGTTCAAGGCCAGCCTGGGCTGCCTAGTGAAACCCTGGCTCGAAAAGCCCAAATAATAATAATAATAATAATAATAATAATAATAATAATGTGAACAACACCCACACAACTTGGCCCTGTGGTCCGAAGGGCTACGCATTTTAGATGTCTGCCCTGTTCCCCACAGTCTGTGACCATACTTAGTCATGCCCTCTCTGTCTCCCTCCCCCAACGACTCTCTTTCCCCCTAGTTCTCTTTTCACAGACCCCCCCCCCCACACACACACAGACAGGCACGCAAACCATTTAGGAAGACTGCAATACATGGCCCTTCCCCTCTGTTTTCTTTAGTGTATGTTTCTTAAGAATAAAGATGTCATTTTATTTTTTATTTATTTTTTTAAGATGTCATTTTGTCTTTTGAGACAGGGTCTCCCTATGCAATTCAGGCTGACCTTGAACATGCAGTGATCCTCCTGCCTCAGTGTCCTGGACCATGCCCATCAGGACAGCTTTTTTGGTGTCCTCAGTACAGTTAGAGTCCCAGTGCTCTGCTCTCCTATCTGGTTTGCATGGGTGGACACAGGGGTACCCGCCCCACCCTGTGTGGCCTCTGGCTGCTCTAGTGTACCCTGCATCCTGACATCTGGCTGTCCCCACAGCCTGATCTTGGCTTTGATCACTGTCACTGTCACTCTCCCTGCCCACCAGGGAGACCTTGTGCTGTGTCCATGACATCTGGTCTCCTTGTCTTTAGGTCCACTGGCAGTGGCAGCCATTCCGCTGGACTTGTTTAGGAAGCAGCCCTCCGGACCACAGAGCTTCGCGCTGACCAGTGGTCTGGGCCTGGGCAGCGCGGTGCTGGGCTCCATCACTGCAGAGGTACAGTGAGTGAGTGGGGCTCCTCCTTCCTGTCAGTGGCTCCCTGGCCTCTGGGTGATGTGTACAGATTCCGGCAGGGGGCGCTACTCCAGGCCTGTGCTTGGAGACGAGGGTGGGTTCTCCAGGTTTACAGCGCCCTGGGACCCTGGCACCCCGTGGCCCAGCCCCAAGGCCTGGGAGGGCTCCCTTGACTTTCAGTGTGATTCCCACAGCCTCACTTTGAGCTGGGCATGTTTCGGTCACAATCCTGTGGCCCATAGAAAATCCATGTGCACTGAGCCAGAGGGCGCATGGACAGAGTTGAAAATCCTCCCCCAAGAAATGTGTCCGAGCTGAACATACAGATTTTTCTCATGATTGTTCCCCAAAGCACACAGTATCACAACCATCCATGTAGCATATTTGTTGTGTTAGGTGTGATAAATAATCTGTAAGTGACTTTACATCTGTAGGAGGGGCCAGGCAGGTTTGTGCACTCCAGGAATCCCAGCTTCATGGAGGCTGAGATGGGAGGATTGCAAGTTGCAGACCAACTTGGGCACCTCATTGGGCCTGAGCTCAGTGACAGAGCAGGAGAGTGCCCTTGCCTAGCACACGCCCAGTCCTGTCACGCGAAAGAAAGGGCATCAAGGAGGCTGTGAGGTTCTGTGCAGGTAGCGCCCGATTTCTGAGGGCTTTGCTACCCCGGGTGGGACTGGAAGCCAGGAGCGCCAAGAGCGCCTGCATTGATGATTCAGTGGTCACTTCCACAGTTCTCTTACGTGGGCCCGGGGGAGCCCAGAGCCCCGCCAGCACCTCTGCCCACTCCAGCTGCGAAGGTAGAGAAGGACCGCACTGTGCTGCCCTGTGGCACCGTTGTCACCACCATCACTGCCGTGAAGACCAAGCCGCGCTTCGAGCCAGGCAGGGCATCTGGTGAGATGCCGGGCGGTGCTGGGTGGCAGTGAGAGGCCTGGGGCGGGTTGGCTCGCCTTTTTCGTCTGCAGAAGAGAAGCCACTTGGCCCACAGTGTGTTTGGAGCTGAAGTGCAGGGGAGGGAGCAGTTTCGCCTGACCCAGCTGCCTCTGAGTTAATTAAATGCTCCGGTTCCCACAGGACACCAGGCAGCCAGGGGAGACTCCCTGGGTTGAGTCACCTGGGAGAGGGCATGGTGATCCATGCCTGTGATCCCAGCACTTGAGAGTCCAAGGAAGGAAGACTGCTAAGAATTCCCAGCCAGCTTGGGCTACAAAGTGAGGCCCTGTCTCAAAACACAAAACCAAACCAAACCAAAACTCACAAACAGGCAACCAGGCCAGGCCAGTGCCAGCATCCCCATTTCTGGAGCCTGGTGCAGCACTGGTGACCATGGTAACTGGGTCTGTCTCCGACAGAATCTCCCGTGAGGACGCCCATCAAGGTGAAGGTCATCGAGAAGGATATCTCTGTGCAGGCCATCGCATGCCACAGCACACCGGTCAGCAAAACGCTATCCTCTTCAGACACAGGTAGGAGAGCACTTCTTCACTCTCTCTGTGCAGGTGAGCTGTTTCCTGAATCCTGTCACCTGCCTAGAAGTGGAGCTCCTTTTCTTAGTTTAGGAGGAGTTTAGTTTTTTAACAATAGGTGGAGCCGGGTGTGGCAGCACTGCCTATAATTGTAGCCCTTGGTAGGCTGAGGCAGGAGGATCTTCATGAATCTCAGTGCAGCATGAGCTGCCTAGTGAGTTCAAGGCTAGTCTGACTACATAGTGAGACCCCAGTCTTAAAAAAAAAAAAAAAAAAAGGCACTGTCTGTGAGTGCCCGAGTAGATCAATTAGGCAAAGTCCAAGCGTACACCCAGAAAGAATGCCGGAGTTCAGGAGAGTGGCACAGAGCGCTGGGGCTGGGAGTGTTCATGGTTTTGGGGACCCTCAGAAAGATGATCCAGGGTGTCTATTTTTGCATTGTTTATCACTTACCTGATGTCCATTTTCTAATGGCCAGGCTGCCTGACAGTGGCTGAAGCAAAAGCAGACTTCACCAGTTGAAATGCATTAGTGGCTCAGAGATGCAGTAGCTGACTAACTGTGCTGGTTTTTTTTTTTTTTTTTTTTTTTTTTTTTTTTGCGGAACCGGGTATTGAACTCAGACCCTTGCACTTGCCAGGCAAGCGCTTATTCTACTGAGCCATCTCCCGGGCCCCTGTGCTGTTGTTTGAGGGTGAGAGTCTGGAATTTATGGCTTTATGGCACCAAAGAAAAATGCAGGCCAAGTGTCTGGACCTCACATCCTAGGACCCTCTGACTTCCGGGGTGAGGAGCGGGAAAGGGAGCGGCTTAGCCTCCGGTCAGTGGCGAGCACTGCTGAGCCTGGGGACTTTGAGTGGCTGTTTCGTCAAGCTACAGGTCCCTCGCAATCACAGTCCCCTGGCTCCTGTCTGTATTCTTTCTGTCCCACCTCACTTCTACTTGAAAAGCTTTGTCACATTTAGCAGAATAGCGAAAGCTGCAGCAAGCTTCAGAGACCCTGTGGCACCTCCGCTTTGCCCTCGACGCCACCTCCTTTTTGTGAGAGGAGGAGTTTGAGGCAGGATTGCCATATAGAACCCTTTCTGGCCCTGAACTTGCCATGTAGCCTGGGCCGGGCTGGCCCTGATCTTGAGATCTTCCTGTCTCAGCTGCCCATGTACTGGGATTGCAGGCATCGCTGCCACTTCTGACTCTGTGGAACGCTGCATTGTTGTTAATGGGTTTTGCACTGCCTCCCCTCTGGCAGAACTGTTGGTGTTGAATGGTTCCGATCCGGTGGCCGAGGTTGCCATTCGGCAGCTCAGTGAGTCCTCAAAGCTGAAGCTCAAGTCGCCTCGGAAGAAGAGTACACTCATCATTTCGGGGGTCTCCAAGGTATGCCGGGTGCTGGCGCTGTCGGGGACAGTCTCTTCCCTTGTGGAAGGAGCAGTGCGCAAAACATCCTGTGTGTGGATATCAGGCTGTGTCCCCGACGGGGGGCTGCAGGGCGGTAGCCAGTGGGCTCGTGTGTTTCCAGGCAGCTTGCAGGTATCCACAGGGGCGGGGAGGGTGTTCTGCGAGCCTGCAGCTTGAGGAGACATTTCACAAAGAGGTGATGTAAGTCCCCAACTATGTCACTGCCCGATTTCTGGGGAACTTTCGCTCTTTGCATGTCACTTACTTCCAAAGCATCTCCATCCTTTGTGGCCAGAACTCAGTAGTCTGTTCACAGAAAAATGTGTGCTGTGGGTCTCCTGGTCCCCAGAGCAGCCCCTCACCATGCCTGGACATTTGCCAGCACCCACAGGATGGGTTCTGGGCTGGGTTCCAGGTGGGGTTCTGGCAGATCCACTTTGGATAAGTTCTGGGCACAGGTTGGGGAGGGGCCTCCTGCAGGGCCACAGAGAGGGCAGAGCTGGGAGGGGCCAATATGCTGAGGTGAGTCCCCAAAGCTGCTGTCATACCCACTCCAGCTGCCATGGCCACCCAGGCTGGTGCTGTCTCTTCCTGGGGGCTCCAGAGTGCAAGATGGCCTCAACCTCTCAGTGTTCCTCCTGCCTCAGCCTTCCCAGGGTTGGGATGACAGGTGTTCACCACCAGCCTGGGTTAGATATAGAATTTTAAAAGATATGAAATAACTACCCATGAATTCCCACTTTCAATTAGCATGAAAATACTGTAGAGATGAAGAACAAGAGAGGCTAAATCTGAGATGCAAGTTTACCTCCTCTGGAAAGAGTTCACCCTTATGCCTAGCCTCTGCAGCTCCTAGAGTGGATGCTGCTGTTCTTGGGGAGAGCACTCCCACACACCCTCATCCATGGGGTCTGGACCCTCCTGGCCAGGTGTCCCAGAGACCTGCTCTGGGCCTTCTGTCACAAGCAGTTGTGACAAAAGAGCCTTCCGAGGTGGCTGGCTGCACCTGCTGATGCTTTAAAATCTCCAGAGTAATTCCAGCACTCAGGCTGCTGAGGTTCAGGCAGGAGGATGCTGAACCAAGGCCAGCCTAGACTACACAGCAAGAACCTGTCTCAAAAAACCAAACAGTGCTGTGCTGGCCAGGCTCCTGAGGCACGCTGAGACACAATTGAGACTGGGCGTGGTGGTGTGCACCTGCAATCCCCCCTCTTGGGAGGCTGTAAACAAGCTGATCACTAGAGTCTGATCTAGTAGTGAGACCCTGAACACCCTGTAGACCCTTCCCTAAAGGTACAAAACAACAACAACAAACAAGCAAACAAAACCCCACGGTGTGAGTGGGAGAGCCACTGTCTGTGTTTCCACCCTGCCCCTGCCTGTCCTCCTGTCCGCTCGCTCACGGTGCTCTTCCCACAGACCTCCCTCTCTCAGGACCAGGACGCTGCCCTCATGCTGGATTATGCAGCCTCCATGGACAGCACCCCTCAGGAGGATGCCCTGGCCACCACGCCGGCCACCCTAGAGGCAGCTGCACCCTCTGCTCCACCTGCCCAGGATGAGCCCACCCTGGTGCCTACCGCCCCTGCAGCCCTGGAGCCCGGGCTGGAGCCCTGGGAAGTGGAGACGGTGGAGGAGGAAGCCAGGAGCAGGCCCTGCTTGCTGGAGCCCGACGGCGATGAGCTCTCCGAGAGCTCCTTGAGCGCCTGGGAGCTGGGTGTCCCCAAGAAGCGAAAAGGTACAGCTGCCTCCTCCATCCACTCCCTTGCTCCCTTTGCCCCAGTGGCCTCGCCCCAGCCACTGCTGCCACTTGGAATCCAGAACAGGCTTCTCCTCTCATCCACCTTGCTCTGCCTGGCTCAGCCACCAGCAGAGGGCACCCGCGGGCAGCGCCTGGCTCTCCTCGTACACTGCTGAGGCAGCCAGGCTAAGTGGGCCATTGAACCTAGCAGCCCTGCAGGCGGTGGCTCCCGAGGGGACTGGAAGACGCAGAGTTCTGGGGTGGCTGGTTCTCGCCTGAGTGTGCATCGCGAGGCGTGCACAGCCTGAACCCCGACAGGGCCCAGCTTCTAACTCACACGGCCTAAGCCTCAGTTTCCCTTTCCTTACTGGGGGGAGGGGGATTTCATTCCTGCTCCACCCACCCTGCCCCCAGCAGCACCGTGGCATGAGGTGGTGACATCAGGAATCTCCCGAGTTACTCACTCTGACTTTCTGTCCTACACTGGGCACCGTCTCGGTCACAGCTGCTAGCCCCGGGCGTGGAGAGGCCAACAGTGCTGCTAAATGCCCCACAGGGCACGGGCAGCCCCACTGAGCCCCAGGGAGCCGCCTGCTCTGCGGAGGCCAAGAACCTGCCCTCGGGAGTCCAGTCTGCCCTTGGGCAGGCTCACCCATTTTTTGGATTTCTTGTTTTTTTGATACAGGGTCTCACTTTGTAGCCCAGGCTGGCCTTGAACTGACAGCGATCTGGTCCTCCCGCTTTAGGCTTCTGATTGCTGGGGTTACAGCCCTGCACCTCTGCACCGGACTTCCTACCCCCGTTTTGGGGCTTCTCCTGCTGCTGTCCCTTAACCTATGCCCTGCCCCCTCGCTCAGTGACGGGGAGGAGTTAAAGGAACAGGAGGAGGGGCTGGGAATTCCCAGAAAAGATTCAGCCCCTGCGGGTTTGCCCACTTCTGGCCTCTGAGGGGCTTTCCGAGTTTGCACCGCAGTGACCTTGCTCCTGGCGCCTCCTGGTGGCCGGCTCCTGTGTAGGCACACAGAAGCCCAGCGCGGGAAGCTGAGCAGAGTGTGTATGTGCTTGTCCCTTCCGTCACAGGCTGGTGGATGATGCCCTTTGAGCTTGAGGTGTCTGGGCAGCTCATGGAGCACCAGCGGCCACCCGCATCTGTTCCCAGCTTCCTGGGTGCTTCCATCCTGGGGTGCTGCTGTGTTGGCTCTTAGTACTTCAGAAGGAGGTGTTTGCTCTTGTTTTTAAAATGTTTTCAATTCTAGCCGGGCATTGTGGTGCCTATCTAATCCCAGCACCAGGAAGGCTGAGGCAGGAGGACTGCCGTGGCTCAGGGCCAGCCTGGGCTACGAAGTGAGCTCACCAGCTTGAACTTCGGAGTGAGACCCTGTTTAAAATTTATTTTCCTATCCAATCTTTTCAAGAACTTTTTACTTAGCCTCTCTAAGATGTCTGTCTTGTAATTACCAAATAGTTTTCATTTTTTACAAAAACATTTCAGAACGGATCTTACTGGAAACAGCCCTGTGAAAGTTGCATCCCACTGGAAACTTACTTCTTTTTTTTTAATTTAATTAATTTATTTATTTATTTATTTTTGTGTGTGTAGCCAGCTCAGCCCACCAGGGGGCGGGGCTGGCTGGCATGTGGTGCTGGGGATTGAACCGTGGTCGCTGTGCTTTGCGAAGCTTGTTCTAAGTAGGTGCTTTAGACCACTGAGCCATCTCACCAGCCCTGGAAACTTACTTCTGATTTACAAACCTCCTGTATCTTTAGTAAGGAGTCAGAGGACACCTGCATGTTTGGGATTTTCTTGGAAATTCACATATTGTGATACCTAGTACAGGAGCTTGAGTCCCATATTGGGATTAACTTTTGAACAAGCTTCGATAGACTGGCCCAGGGGTGTGAAGAGGCCAGACACTCTGCGCTGTGTGTACACAGGTGGGCACATGGTCAGGCTTGGGTGTGAGGCAGAGTGCTCTGCTGTTCAGGATGGCCTTGCGCTCTCAGTGATGCTCCTGCCTCAGCCTCCCAAAGACTGGGTTACTAGGTGTGCAGCATCATACCCCGCAGGTGTGTTTTACTTCAAGAGAACTGAGAGGTTTGGGGAGAAACTGGCAAGTTAAAGAACCTTGCCAATGTCCTGCATGGTGACACCGAGGGTGAGTGTGCGTGTGCACATGCGCACATGCGCGTGTGGGTATACGTGTGTGAGAGAGCATGTGCACATGCGTGCGTGCGTGCGTGCAGGCAGTGATGTAAATGCTTCCAGGCTCTCACTCTCTTTCATTCTGGTTTTGCTCTCGCATCCGCACATTTCCTTTAGCCTAAGAGGATCGCTCTGCCGACCTGAGTTAATTCCTGCGCAGTAAGTTACTCCACCTTTGGTCTCCTCCGCGTTGCCGCGCTGTAGGAAGCGACCAAGCCGACCCTTGGCCCGCCGCCCCTCCGCCCAGCCCCGCCTCCCTCCCCAGCGCCGCTGCTGCCCAGCTCCCAGACCCGCGCGGTCAGCGGGCTCCTTCACAACCGCCAGAGGGCGCTGCCTGGAGGGTAGGGGTGGGGTAGACTCCGCAAGCTGGCTGTTCCAGGAGCAGCCGGCTACAGTTTGCAGGCTGCTTCTGAGCAGTGTTGTTTTGAGACAGGGTCTCGCTATGTAGCCCACGCTGCCTCGAACTCACAGTGATCCTCTTGCCTCAGTTAGGCCCTGAGCCAGGTCCCTGAGCCAGGTCCCTTCTGAATGCTGCGATTACAGGAGGTCTCCACCATGTCCCAACTGATGAGATTTTAGGGTGGATGTTTCTATTATGTGGGTTAGGAATTAATTTGGAAATACACGTAACATTAGGGCTGTGATTTAAAATAATTATTCTTTAATTCCATCAAGTATTTATTTAGACTTCAGCCTTGTGATTTTTTTTTTTAATAGAATCAGGGAAAGGGCTGGGTGTGGTAACGCATGACTATAATCCCAGCACACAGGAGGCTGAGGCAGGAGGATTGCTGAGAGCTCAAGGCCAGCCTGGCTACAAAATGAGAGGACCCTGCCTCAAAATAAGAAAAAGAAAGTCAGGGAAAGACCTTTTTCTTCTCCTTTCCTCCTGCTCGTAAATCTGGATCACTTGCTTAGAATTTCACCCAACCATGCTCTGGATTATTCTCTTGTTTATTAGTTAGTTTAGTTGTGCCGATGTGTGGGGTGTGGGGTGCCCATGAGTTACAACCACACAGTGTGTAGTGGTCCTGTTGGGGTAGTGGGCTTTCTGGCTCCTTTAACAGTTTTTTAAAATGTTCATTTCTCATGTGACAACTGTGTGCATTGGTGGGGTGGAGTGTGGCCCCGCATGACTCCAGCATAGCACTCGAGGGTCAAATCTGGGAATCAGGGTTTCCACCCCCTCACCATGACTGGCGCCTTTCTCCTCCCTAGGACACAGGACAGGTGACTGCAAGCTCTAGTCACCCCCTGTGGTGCTAGGGCTCAGCTCTTCTGTCTGTTGGGGTACTTCCTTCCATCCCTCTCTTCCTCCCAGATGAGAGTGATCCAAAGTATATGGTTTTTATTTTTTGGATTTTTCCTGAGACTGGGTCTTGCCATGCACCTTAAGCTGGCTTTGAACTTACGGTGATCCTCCTGTCTCAGCGTCCAGAGTGCTGGATCACAGGTGTGTTCCACCATGCCTGGGTCCAATTTCTCTTTAAGGGACCCGAGCAGCCATGGTTGGGATGGGGGAAAAGGCAGGGGGTGGGGTGGGGGACACATCTTTAATCCCAGCACTGAATCTGAGGCAGGAAGGTTGCAATTTAGTGAGACCCTGTCTCAGAATAGAATTTCTTAACAAGCTGGGAAACCTTCAGTATGAAGGTTCTGGATTCAATCCCTTGTGGTGCACAAAGCAAAGAGAAGCAGAACCTCACTATTTCTTGCTTCTGGAACCTTGGGCTGAATCATCGTGTCTACAGGGGGAGCCCTTGTGAGGGGCTGTCCCTGCCTCTCCTGGCTCCTCCCATCTGTGACAGACCTGGTCTCCTCTAGGTCCTCAGAGGGTCCTCTCGCCCTCTTCCCTCTGTGTGTCTGTCTGACCCAGCCCCCCTCCTATAGGGACATGGCCTTCTCTGACAAGCCTGCCCCCAAGCTCCTTTAAAGTGATCACCTCTTTGAAGTCACTATCTGAGGCCTGCTTAGGAGCTCAGAGTATGCACTTCGGGGCACAGTTAGGCCCTGAGCCCGGTCCCTGCTCAGCCCCTGACCAGGTTCAGTGCCAGGGCGCAAGGGATGGACTCTTGGGCTGCCTCCCCCGCTGGGGTCCTGAGGCTGGGTTTGGCCTGGCCTGGGCTGCTGGGTTCCCTCCAGGGCCTCCGTTTCTCTGGGGGAGAATGGGGCTGTCCTCCCTTCTGCTGCAGCCAGGGAGGCAGTGTCTTCAGCTTTCAGAGACCACTGAGCCAAGCCTGGGTTGGGAACCTCCAGGCCTTGCCCGATCCCATCCTCCATCCCGCCTCCTGCACTCTGGGGGCTCTTGTGCTTGTGACCACCATCCTTGTGTCCCACGGGTCGTTATCCACAGGGATCAGCTACAGCGGCCACTCTTCTCACCAGCCCTGTCCACTGGAGAGGACATTCAGCTGTCCTCGGCAGCTAGTGATATTTCTTGATCAGCTGCCTTCCAGGGACATGAATGAGCCTAGGAACTGTTCATATCCCTCGATGGCACCCTCCAGGCTTGCTGGTAGGACCCAAGTCATTTCCACATCTATATTCTCCCTTTTCATTCTTGCTGGCCTTCCCACAGCTGACCTTGAACTCACTGTATAGCCCCAGGCTGGCCTTGATCTCATGGTGATCCTCCTGTCTCAGCCTCCTGCATGGTAGGATTACAGGAATGGACCATGTGATTCTCTATCAGCTTTGACCAGATTAAATTCATCCTGGTCCTTGGAACTCTGTATTGTCTTCACATCTACTAATGAAACCAAGACATTTGCCCCAAAAGTCAAATCCCAAAGTGGCATCCTAAGTCACTCTGTACCTGTAGTAGGTGCTGATTACGCAGCGTGCCCTAGCTGCTTGACACGGGCACACATCATTTGTAAGTGCTCCCTACCCTTTCTTTCAGCAGCACAGCTGCACTGTGGCTGTCAAATGCCTGTTGCAGAAAGTCTGAGTTACCAGAAAGGGGCTAAATCTCCCAACTCCCCCCGCAGGCCTGCCTGCCCCCAGAACCATGAATCCCCCACATGCATGATGATGGAGTTCACAAGCTGGCTCCACGGCCTCCCTGACCTTGGGAACTAGGATGTACCAGGATGCGAGGCTAATTTGTAGAGAACCAAATACCATGGCTTGGACCTAATCTTGAAGAAACCATTGCTGTTGATTGTTTTTCTTTTTCTTTCTTTCTTTTCTTTTTTTTAAATCAGGAATTGGACTCAACCTTGTGGTTTCCAGGTAGGCACTTGCGCCACTGAGCTATATCTCCAGCCTATTTTTTTTTCCTTCTTTTTTTGATACAAGGTCCCTTTACGTAACTCAGCTGGCATGGTGGTATACATTGGCAGTCCCAGAGGCTGAGGTGGAAGATCACCTCAAGTCCAAGGCCAGCCTAGGCTGCTTCGTGAGTTCAAGGCAGCCCTTGTGTCCCTGCCATACCTGGCTATTGCTACTGCTTGCTGTTCCATATGCTGCCAACTGACATCCGACACAGAGAGGACAAATCATGCAAAGTCTGTGTCTTTTTTTCCCCTCTTTTTCTCCTTCTCCAATCCCCTTTTCCTTCCTCTGTCTGTCTTTCCCTTCCTCTCTTTTTTTCTCTTTCTCTTTCTTTCCCTTGCTCCCTTCTTCCATCTCTCCTTCCCTTCCTTTCTTCTAGCAATGTAGGGATTAAATCCAGGGCCTCTTGCATCCTAGGCAAGCACACTGTGCCCAAGCCATATCCCAGCCCCAAACTGAGGTTTTGTAGGTTGATAATGATCAAGTAACTTATGTCCTATGTTGTAGCCTGCGTACACACACACACACACACACACACACACACACACGCATGCACACACATAAGATCTGGAATTATTTTTAAAAAGTCTCAGTCTCCAATAATAACTGCTACTTAAGTTTCCTGAGAAAGTGAGTGCATTGCTCTCAGGGACCCTGCTTGGTTTGGGCTGCACGGCCAGCTGGCCCTGCCCCAGGGAAGGAAGGTGCAGAGGCACCTGGATGGCTGTCTGGTGGGAAAAGCTTTTGACCCCTGTGGCAGGGTCCTGCCTGCGAGCTGCCTTCCTGCTTCCTCCGAGTCGCTCCTGCCTGTCACGCCTGGGTCCTTCCATCACCCTGTCTGAATGTGCTATGCTCCTCTTGCAGGAGGAATCCTCAGGAAAGGTGCAAAGCTGTTCTTCCACCGGCGGCACCAGCAGAAGGAGCCAGGCCTGAGCCAGTCACACAACGACCTGCTGTTCCTGCAGCAGCCAGAGGGGGCCCACAGGAAAAACAAGACCCTCACCCGCATCCTCAACAAGAGACTGCTCCCCTGGCAGCGGGGCAGGGATGCCACTGTGAACGGAGTGCCCGCAGAGCCCTGCACGTAGCCCGCCCGCAGGGCCACCTCCTTCCTCAGGGAGCCACAGATGGGGGCCACGATGTGCCCAGGACAGAGCAGGGTACCTGCTGCTGCCCAATGCCTGCCTAGCTTGCTTGGTTTCTTCCAACAGTCTAAGCTTTGGAAGGGAAAACAGCCAGCATTTGCAGCCAGGAGCTTTGCCCAAAGAATGCTGATGAGCCCAGTTCGTGCCAGGTGCCCCCTGCAACATCTGCCACCTCCAGCTCAGGCCATGCTCCAGCCTGGGTGTGGGGCTTTTCTGGAAGGAGGGGAATAATGTGATGTGACTGACAGTGGTGGTAAGGGGCAGGCAGAACCAGTTTCACTCACTGCACCCACAAGCACAGCACTGGGGGCCAGGCCTGACTGTATTAGGAGGAGGCAGTGACCCCGTGCTGTCCCCAGGCACCAGAGGGGTGGGACACCTACCTGCCTAAGCCTCTGCTGGAATTACAATGCACCTCGCCCAGGTGACAGGAAGATGACGGGATTTTTGATAAATGCAAGTTATGATAGGAATGGAAATCTAGGAAGGCACTTGCCTTTAGTATTAGTCATAGAACTTGCACATGTGTGCAATCCCAACATAAGTCCTATGCATATTTTGCTCGGCGCTTCCAAATTCACCTGGAGCCTCCTTGCAGGTGCAGATGTGTGCAGGGTGCTGTGGTTCCTATGCTTTCCTAGTCCTGTCAAGCTCAGGGTGCCCATGGGGCTAGGGATAGGAAGTCAGGGCAGTGAGCACTGGGTCACCAAATTCACATGCACGAGTCTTGCCAAATGCCATTGACTGCCCAAAGTCTGTCCGGGGCTGTCATGGAAATGACCTTGAGTCTCAGGGGTCAGCCTTAGGAATACAAGTGTAATAGCAAAAGGACCAGCTCGAAGGACTTTGTAGGGCTGTGCAGCATTCTGCTATGAACAGGGCGCCGTGCACATTTTGGAGTGTCCTTAGGTGAGCATAAGGGACTGAGAGCTCCCTCCAGCCCACGTGCAGTGAGCGCTTCGCTCGAGGCCTTGTGACCGTCTGCCTGCTCTAGGCCTGGTGACCGTCTGCAGCCCAGGACACAAGTGTACTCCAGAGCGACTGCCCTGGCCGCGGTGGAGCCTCCTCAGATTCAGCTTCACTGAGCTGGAGAACGCTGGTGTGAAAACCTGACCCTAAGCACAGGTGTGGGATGGGGCGCCAGCCTCACTGGAGGCCTTCTGTGAGTCCAGACCATGGATTTCAGGGGAGGCAGAGCCACTGATGAGCAGAAACTGGGGAAAAGCCCCCATTATGGCATTTGTTTTTCTTTCTTGTTTTTGAGGGAGAGATTCAAAAACTACACCCGAAATCTCACTTTGAAATTCATGTTGAACATTTTTTAGGTATTTAGAAGTTAGCAAGTGAAATTAAGATGACTTTATAGCCACTTTCTCTTTTTTTAAGGTTCTGTTCTAAAGTTAGTCACTGTAAAATTCAAAAATCCACGATGTTACCAAGTTAGTCCACAGAGTCAGTGACCACTACTTTTTTCTCTGAAATGGAGGTCACCTTAATCTTTTGTTGCACTTGAAGTATTACTGTGTCATTCTCTGGGCAGAACTTGTGACATACAACAATCTATTTTTTTTCTTTTCTTTTGGGATTGAAGCCACAGCCTTGCACATGCTAGGCAAATACTCTACCTCTGAGCTTCACTCCCAGACATTTAAAGAAAAAATATATATATATGGGGGAGTGTCTAAGTTTTCCAGGCTTGAACCTGGCAATCCTGCTTCAGCCTCTGAACAGCTGGGGTTAGGACAGGTTGTGCCACCTTGCCAAGCTACCCAGGCTTAGTCCTAAGAAGCTATGGTGTGTTGGAATTTCAGGCCCTGATCAGAAGTATTTGAGTACAGACTAAGGACCCTTGTCCAAAGAGTTTCACAAGTCAAAGTTTTTCTGATTTTGGAGTATGTGAATAGGCTTTCCTGATTGTTCATCCCTTCTTTTGAAAACCCAAACTACTCAGAAACCTGGCAAGCGCAAGGTCCCAAGTTCAATCCCTGGTACCAAACAAAACAAACACCCCAAGAAATCTGAAACTTTTTGAGTGTCCCAATGCTCAGGCCTCAGATCTTTGTGTGAAGGAGGCCTACTGACACCTTTTCTGTGGTTTGGTTTTGAAATTCCAGTGGGTCCCTGCATTCCAATGTTCAGCATCTGAATTTTAGCTGTGCTTTTTCTAAACAGAAAAAGCTCTTTTAACCATCCTGTTCCTAAGTGAGCCTCCCAAGCCTCTGCCCACTGTTTATGTCCCTGTGTGGAGCTGGCTTCCTGCGGGCGGTGTGTGTGTCCTCCAGCAAGTGGCCTTTCCTGTGACAGAGAACAGGTGTAGCAGAGGATGACAGGGATGTCAGAGATGGCAGGAGGCCTTGGGGGCACCTGAGGAAACAGCTGTCCTGAAGTTGTGAAGGCCCTTTCCCAGCATCTGCTGGGGCTATTTCTTCATGGTGTAAGATGTGTCAGATCGAGTCATTAAAGATAAAGATGGGCTCAGGTGACACAGCACATGCCGAGGATGCTCATGGGTGACTTACCTGCCACAAGCTTTGGTGGATTCAGGTTTTCGTTTTTTTTTTTTTTTTTTTCTTGATAAATTTTTTTTTGTGGATGAAAATTTAAAAGCAATTCTCCCTGAAACACAAATAGTGACACATTTGTGTCTCCAGAAGCAAGCGCTGGGGCTGGCTAGGAATGGGCCACTACCCCTCGGCCAGCCTGCTTTGTTAGGGGCTGCCTGTGTCCTTTGCGCCCTTTGGGAGCATGTGTATATTTCCTGTAGCAATAACAGAAGTCGGGACCTCTTGTTCCGGTGGAAAACCTGCTGTGAAGAGGATTCACAAGAGCACTTTATTTTAACCAAGTACCAAGTTCAAGTCCAACGCTAGCCCTGGATTCCTCACCACGGCTGCCTGGCTGGTCTCTGCCCATCTAGATTTTTGGCTGCATCTGCCGAAGAGAGGCTGGCATTTTCTTCTTGAGCAGAAAGGGGCCTCACTGCATTGCTGCCACCAGAAAGTGGGCATTTTGTGGGTCACACACTGGAGATTTTGGGGCTTTGACCCTCAGCATCACACAGCTGGACACTGGAAGTCAAACTGCGCACCTCTGCCGGTGGAGCACAGGTCTGTCTCGGTAGCAAGCCTGATGCCAAGCTGTCTCCACTGCCCCACAGGGAGACAGTGGAACCCCAGAACTTCAGGGTTCTCTGCTGATCCTAGACGGTATCCCACTGTCACTAAGGCTGTCCCTGGTGCTGTTTCAGACCCACAGTAAAAGAGAAGAAAGGTTCCCAGGGGTGGAGAGCAGCGTGGGCACTGGATTCTGTGGTGGCAACTGCAGCCTAGCAGCACTTTAGACACAGGCTCGACCCCGCACCGGCCTGGCCAAGTCCCACTGAGGACGCCTGGCTGCAGTGGGAGTGGCCATTGGAAAAAATAAATGTGCACATGGAACACAGCACAGAGTGGTTTGTGCCAAGCCTTATGTGACTGGGAGTCCCAGGGGTGGGTGGGCTCAAGGGTCTCCAAGTTAGGGTCTTTCTTTGTCCCTGAATGGGGCTCATGACCACAGCCAGAAGCCTGTAAGAAGGGCTGGTGGGAACCGTTGTCTGTTCAGCCTTATCTCTCAGCAAGACTTCCTCCTAACATTTCTCCATCACCAGGGGTTGAACCCTGGGCCTGTGAACTCAGTTACTTCCCCAACACTTTGTATTTTTTATTTTGAGGCAGGGCCTTACTATGTTGCTCAGGCAGTGCTCAGACTTGCAGTTCTCCTGTCTCTGCCTCTGCTTCCTAGAGTGCTGGGATGACAGCTGTATGCTACACGCCGGTCATCCCAGCACTTGGGAGGCCGAGGCAGGAGGATGGCTGCAAGTTTAAGACTAGCCTGGGCTACAAAATGAGCTTGAGGCCAGCCTCAAAAGACAAAATCAAATCAAATCATACACTTTCAGAGAGTGGCATGGGCCCCCTCAGGTGGTGCTGAATAGTGGGCACTCATGCCAAGGACTCTCTGGGCCTTCATTCCCCAGTGGAAGAGCCTGGCCCACCTTTTGGGGGACACATTTGGGGAGTAATGTGTAGGGTAAGGTGAAGGCTACATGGGGTGTGACTCAGGCTACCCACCTAGACAGAGACCCACCTGAGCTGCAAGGGCACAGAGATGTGGTCATCTCAAGGACACCTGCTATCCATGCCTACCCTGGCAGGTGGCCCAGGTGGGAGAGATCCAGCTCAGCTATGGGTGTGACAGTGCTCTGGAGTGGGCCTGAGGGGCCTGGCATGGTCACGGAGCCACTGAAGGTCAACATGTTCTTGGGCCAGCTTTCCAATCTGACCTGCTGCTGGTTCCCTCAGGTGAACTGTGGGTTCTGGCCCATCTGTCTACACTGCCCGAATTAACCCACCTTAATTTACCTGCCAGAGACAAGTGCAGAGATCAGACATGACCTTACACGGTCATTTCCATACTTTAGGGCTGCCAGCAACAGGCAAGAATACCATAAAGTAAGATTCCATGTTTGCACAGAGTATGAATTAATTTGTTTGCTAACAAGCATCTCCTCATAAAAAGGTAGAGATGAGCAGCAAAGTAGCTAAAGATAGCTATGCTTTTTTTTTTTTTTCCTGAGACAGGGTCTCATTCTGTAGTTCAAACTATCCTTGCTTTATAGAGCCCAGGCTGGCCTTGATCTGGTGGCAATTCTCCTGCCTCAGCCTTCCAAGGGGTGGGATTAGGGTTGTGCAACTATCCCTGGCTATGACACCTTCAACAGAAGTTTTACATTTAAGCCAACAAGGGGTGCTGGTTGGTAAAGAGCTGGAGCCATGTCTGGTCTGTGTTCAGGGAAAACCAGTGTTTGCAGGTGTGAGGAGTAGAAGCCCATTTGCTTAAAAAAAAATTCTCATGTCATTTTAAAAAAATCACACAGACCCATAGCCATACACTTGTTGCTGAGATACACCGATTTTGTTCATCTGATTGCTGTCTCCCTATCTACTATTATCTGTCTTTCTGTCTGCAGGCATTGGGGTGCTTCACTGGAAACCCTCTGGGATGCACCATTGTCAGATCCAGAGAGCCCTCCCATGCTGCCCCGTTACAATTTGGTCTCACACATCACCTTCACATGGATCCCTTTGAGTTGGGCATTTCTTTCTGTCCATGATTCAAAGATGTGCATCGTTCGTGATGCACACTTGATGCTTTCAGCAGCACTTTTGCTCCTGAATTTTTGCAGAAACGGGGATTGAACTCAGGCCTTTGTGCTTCCAGGCTAGTGCTTATTCTACTGAGCTATCTCCCTGGCCCCTGCTCCTGACTTTAGAATGTGCAATGTAAGCCTGCCTCAGACAGACAGCCTTATTTCTGGCCTTTACTGAGGGGCTGTACTAAACTCATTCAGGCCTGGGGCAGTAGGGGAGGAGTGTGGGAAAGTGAGCATGGCGGGAGGGGAAGAGGGCGCTGTGAGCTCCAGGCTTGGCCCACGCAGTGTGTAGAAGGACTTAGGTATCTTTCACTCCTGCTGTGATGGGCACTCTGACCTGTAAACTATCTGCTTGGGCTTGTGGTGCTGTTGCATAGGGCAGGGCACTTTGGAATCAAAAGTCATCACTCTGGAGTAGGGGAGGATGGCTTTAGGGGGTGGTGCATTTGGACAAAGACTGGAAAGGAAAGATATGTAGAAGGATGGGGCAAGCTGCGGGAACACGTGCTGTCCCAGTGCAGTAGGGACCAAGTGAAGGACAGGCCGGCTGGCCAGAGGTCCTGGATCCCTGGCTGACTCTGGGGCGCTGAGAGGGTGTCCATCTGCGGGGGACCCCCTGTGTGTGGGACTCTAGGGAGCAAGCCTCGGCTTTCGTGGACAGCCGTGGTCACCTGAATGGGGGCCCTGTGCCACTGGCAGAGGACAAGAGAGTCTCTGCTTTTTTCCAAGTACCGCTCTAAACTTTATCCTTGCTAATCTTGTAAATAAAAACGGCCTCGCTGTAGTTTTCTTATTGCGTACACTGGCGTTGGCGCTAACACCTTTGGTGGAGGCCCTGAGCACTTGCGTGTTTTTCAACCCGCCTCACCGTGCCCCAGGGTGCTCAATCTCCTGCCGGGCCATCTCTGATTCACAAGGCCAGTCAGCAGAGTTTGCCCCGGGAGCCCATAAGGAGGCGGCGGTGTGGACCTAAAGCCAACACCCGGGTCCAGGGCAAGCTCTGGCCCTGCCAGGCACGGCGGATCTATCTGCTCCGAAGACCCGGGACGCCCGATCTACTCTGGCAACCCAGTGCCGGGTCAGCGTCAAGCCTGCTGTGAAGACGGGTGTGCTGGCCGCTGGGGGAGGGCTGGGCACCTTCCGCACGAAGGGTGGGGGGACGCGGCGTGGAGCCCTCTGTGTCCGCTGGCAGCGTCCGCGATGCCCACCGCGCGACCCCGGCCCAGCCGGCCAGCCCCGCACTACAACTCCCACGATGCCGCGCCGGCGCCCCACGGCTTCCGGTGCTGCGCAGTTTCCGGAGCGGATCGCAACCCGGAGTCCGGATCCGGCCCGCTCGGCGCCGTCCCGCGCAGGTAGAGCCCCG